CCTTCCCCTGGGATTTCACTCCTGGGATGAGAAGGCACGGACAGAAGGGATAAGGTAACAGCAGTCACGGTCTCTGAGGTTTGATAGCAGTTTTCCCTCTTAGCTAGGGACTTCGGTCCCCAGAGTCCCCCGTGGGCGGAGCTACCTAGCTGTTTATTTTGGAAATACTAGAACAGTAACTGCTTTTGCCAGGAACATTCCTTGGAAGATTAGCGAGGACTGGAGAATGCTAAACATTAAATAAAACATTTCTTTATAAAGCATTTAATTATTTATATAGGGCTAACTCACTGCTCCCTGGGGGGATAATAGCGTGTGAAATGACCTAAGCTTCTTGTAAAAGAAAAGATAACATAATTCAGGAGATATTATCATATGCCAGTAAGTCTGTGTCCCTTCACATAGAGAAAGAACCCATGGGGGAGGGGGAGCTAAAGAGGTGGGTTATTCATTGATACAAACAGTCCAACTAGTTAGAGAGAATGGCCTTACCAGAGATGGCCCCTTTATAAATATGTAGCTCTGAGAAATGAGGTGCTTAAGGCCCCAGGTGAGTTAGGAAGCTCCTCCTGACTCTCGGCAACCCCAACTGAAGGGTCCAACTTCACTAACATCTACATTCGATGGAAGATGTCTTTCTGCCAAGGCCCTTAATGAATCTCAGAATCAATTCTGAACTTTCTACACGAAGGGGAACGATCCTTTTCATGGCAACAATAATACACACAGCGCTCCTTTTAGTCCTACAACTGGAAAAATAATCTCTTCAAAAAGGTCTAATTATTTTTTAAAAACAAGCCATCAAAATCTTATATGCTGGAAACTCATTAGATGAAAGATGGTAAAATGTATAAGTATTTTAAAAATGAACAATGACTAATTTCAAGGCAGTCAAATAGTTTGCACGACAGTCTCCCCAGGATAGCTTACACCTGCAGGCTGCATCAGGGTCAATGTGAAGACCCTCTGTGGCCTGGGGCAGCCCTGCCAGGTGTGAGCAGCACAGGTGGCTATCAGCACGCGCAGCCCAGCCCAGACTAGTCTAGCCTTCGAGCACTCAGCAGGGCCTTTCCTCACAAAGAATGCGTTTTGCAGACTGTTAGCTGTTGTTATTCATTATTATATTCACTGTGATTTGAGTGCCTAGTATGAACATTACCTGCCTTAACATAATATCCTCAGGATATTTTAAAGTTAAATACAATTATCCCCATTTTACAGATGAGAAAACTGATCGGTAAGAAAGGGAAGTTCAAGGATCTCGCCCAGGTCTCTGGTGAATACCTGGTGGGACCAGGCTGGGGGCGTTAGAACAGCAGAACCACCTCTGCCACCTGGACATGCTTTATTTGGCACACACATTATTTTTAAATTTTAGAATTAAGTTTTTCAAATTGGAAGATTTTAGATATAAATCCTCATTTCCTTTCTCTGGAAGACCTAGCAATGCTGACTGTAAATTCTTGTGTGCTGATAAGCTGGAGCCAACAGCTGCTCCTCAGTTGCTTGCCAAGGTCCTGGTTGGACCTGCTTCACAAGTTCACATTCCCTCCCCAGGCCCGAGGCCCTGGGATGTGTGCCCGTTTAATCCCCGATGGGCCCATGGACCAATCCTCTGTCCCTTCCGTTCCTACCTGCCTCAGGGGGCAGGGCCCAGCTGGAGCTTCATAAATGAGCTATCCCAGAGAAGAAACCATTGCTTCTAATAGTTTTCTATTGATTAGGTTTGATGTTTTCAATCATATAATCATGCCGTTAACAGAGAACTGAAGATAGCTAGGTTAGTCTGAAAAAATCATTACACTGAGAAAAAAGGAGCAATCACAGTGAATGACCATTGAATTCCCACCACGACTTTTGTGGCCCGTCCCCGGCCAGCATCTGCACTCAGATATGGGTGTCCCCTTCCCTCTGATACTGGATCCTGTCCTCTCCCTCCTACACAAGTTGGTTCTTGCAACCTCACTTCTTTTTCATCAGGTTTTCCTCCACTGAGTTACAGTGGAACCTCGTTTCTCAAACTTAATTCATTCCAAGAGGCTGTTCGAGAAGCGATTTATTCAAAAACTGAATCATTTTTTCCCATTAGAAATAATATAAATTGAATCAATCCATTTCAGACCCCCAAATGATTCTGATTCAACCTTTCTTATATACCTGTCTAATGTACTGTTTAATATATAAATAAATACTTCTTTTCTTAAATTTATTGAACCACTCCCTACTAGCCTTGAAGGAATTTTTCAGATATCACTGCCTTGAGA